GCCTACAATATTGCTTCCAAGGCCTGTAAGAAGGCATACATCAGAGCGGATGCCCAGCGCGTTGCACGTGTTGGTCACGAACTTATAACGCATCCTACGGGCTCCCGTAGCTATTGGCGTTTGGCCAAGGCCGTACAAAAGAACTTCTGCCAGCCCTCGCTGCCACCTCTGAGATGTCCAGACGGAACACTAGCTCATAAGCCGCAGGAGAAAGCCGATTTACTGGCAAAACTCTTTGCGGCTAACTCCCGAATCGATGATTGCAATGCACTGCCACCATTTTTACCTCATTGTGGCACAACGATGCCTGATATCAAAATCAGGCAGCGTGAGGTTCGTGCCGAATTGCAATCACTCGATGTCCGGAAAGCTAGTGGACCTGATGGCATCCCAGCAGTAGTATTGAAAAAATGTGCAGCGGAGTTGTCTCCCGTGCTCACGCGTTTGTACCAGTGCTCGTATTCTTTGGGGCGTGTGCCGGAAGCTTGGAGAGATGCTAACGTGCAACCGGTACCCAAAAAAGGGGATCGCTCAGACGCGGCAAACTACCAGCCAATAGCAGTCACCTCAGTATTATGTAAAGTCCTAGAAAAGGTCCTTAACAACCATCTGACCCGCTACCTAGAGGATCACTCCCTGATTAATGATCGTCAATATGGTTTTAGACCGAAACGATCGACGGGTGATCTTCTAGCGTACTTGACTCATATCTGGGGTGAGGCTATCGATAAGCGGGGCGAGTCGTTGGCTATCAGCCTAGACATTGCCAAGGCATTCGACAGGGTCTGGCACAAAAGCCTTCTCTCCAAGCTTCCGGCATACGGTCTGCCGGCCCAGTTCTATTCTTGGGTAGCTGACTTCCTGCATGAGCGTAGAATTCGTGTCCTTACGGATGGTAGCAGTTCGCGGTTCATGTCAGTGAATGCCGGCGTTCCCCAGGGCTCAGTCCTATCCCCCACTCTCTTTCTGCTGCATATCAATGACCTAATTCCTCTTGGGAATATTCATTGCTATGCAGACGACAGTACAGTGCATGCGGGGTATCTCGGACAAGCAGCGGCTGGGCAGGCGGTAACCAAGGAGAAACGGGAGAATCTAGTCATTGAACTCAATCAGGCTTTGGACCACATTTCTGAATGGGGTACCAAGAACTTGGTTGAGTTCAATGCTAAGAAAACCCAGGTCTGCGCTTTCACGGCAAAAACGTCGCCATTCCTTTTATGTCCTTCTCTTCAGGGCACAACACTGGAGCTAGAGAGCAGTATCACCATGCTCAGTATGGAGATTCGCTGTGACTTAAATCCAAAAAATTACATCGAAAGTGTGATAAAAACAGCCTCACGCAAACTCGGAGTCCTGAACAAGGTGCGGCGTTTTTTCACGCCCGAGCAACTATGCTTGTTATATAAGACGCAGGTTCGGTCTTGCGTGGAATATTGCTCGCACCTCTGGGATGGCTCCGCCAAGTACTTGCTCGATGCTTTGGATAGGTTACAGCGGCGCGCAATACGCATCATAGGTGATGAGGAGGTGTCTAAACACCTCGAGCCTCTTCAATTACGCCGTGACGTGCCGTCACTAAGCGCGTTCTATCGTCTGTACCACGGCGAGTGTTCTGAGGAGTTATTCTCTCTTATTCCACCTTCCCCTTTCCTTCAGAGGACCACGCGCGCTGGCTTACGTTGTCACCGTCTAACTGTGGCTACAATTCCAACGCGTACAAAGAAATTTGGTGACTCATTTCTTTGTCGTACTATCCGTAAATGGAATGCTCTGCCCGCTCACGTGTTCCCTCCCTCTTACAACCTGGGATCCTTTAAAAGAGGCGTGAAGAAGCAACATGCAGGCCGGCAGGGTGAGGATGGCTGGTGTGGCAGGTAGAACTGCTGTATCAGCTATCTTCGCGTCTGGACTTCACCTCCACTTAACATCAGGTGGGGTGGAGTCATTTGTCGGACCTATCTATAAAAAAAAAAAAAAAATTAAACCGTCATTCATGACCCACCCCCAATCCGTTGGATGTATGATGATGAAATGATAAAACGTGTTATATATACATATAAGAACGTTGGTATGTATTCATGCCTACGTTTCCAAAATATATGATCCATATTAGGTATATATATTCACATTACAATAGTTGTGGGTCTCTATTATACCGCGTACTTTCACATTGCTCCAAATAGTCCAGTCGGAATAAACATGAGACTTATTCTAAGACACCAGCGCTTAGCCAATTTTTTCCTAGATAGTATAGACCCCCACGAATATGCCCTCCATTTGTCCCCGCTAGAACCCGTGTTTTGTAGCCAGGAAAATTGTTTAAACAAAGAAAAACCGGTTTTTTTGAGTTTTTTGCTTGTAAACGGGGATTTTGAAAATTTTTTTGAATCAAAGTTGTTCATTAGCATGCCCTCTACAAAATCAGTTCTATGAAAAAATAACGTGAGATTGTTAGTTTAGCAGTAAATTGCAATTATGTCGGTTTTACGATTACAACAATTCAACATGTTATAATAAACATTTTGATTTCTAAAGTAGTTTTTCATGTGGGTAACGCCACTCCCAAGAGAGTCATGTAAAATTTATCGACCTGTGTCGCAAACTTTAGCAACAATTCTCAATCTCCGAATAAAAAGTACTTGCCTGTCCCGTCTTTCCCAGAAGGCGCACAGCGGGGAAAAAAATTCAGGTGATTCGATTCACCAAGAATTTTGAGGAATCGATCGAGTAGAAAAAAATCGTTAGTAAAAATGTTCGTTTTTGGACGATTTAATTTTTTTTTAAAAATTGACGTAGAATTTTTTTTTTAAACTAATGTATTTTTCTCTCCTCAACTCGAATATACGATTGAAAATTTAAAAAATTCAGTTTATTTATGTACCGAAATTATATACAAAACTATTAAATAAAATTCGATTACAAGACTGCGTTGTATTCTATATTTCTAATTAAATTAATTTCGTCCTTTTTTCTTCCGGTTCATAATCGGAATTCTCAGGGTATATTATATATATATATATATATATATATATTCAGAATAGTATATTCGAGTTGAGGAGAGAAAAATACATTAGTTTAAAAAAAAAACCTACGTCAATTTTTAAAAAAAAATTAAATCGTCCAAAAACGAACATTTTTAGTAACGATTTTTTTCTACTCGATCGATTCCTCAAAATTCTTGGTGAATCGAATCACCTGAATTTTTTTTCCCGCTGTGCGCCTTCTGGGAAAGACGGGACAGGCAAGTACTTTTTTTTCGGAGATTGAGAATTGTTGCTAAAGTTTGCGACACAGGTCGATAAATTTTACATGAATCTCTTGGGAGTGGCGTTACCCACATGATAAACTACTTTAGAAATCAAAATGTTTATTATAACATGTTGAATTGTTGCAAACGTAAAACCGACATAATTGCAATTTACTGCTAAACTAACAATCTCACGTTATTTTTTCATAGAACTGATTTTGTAGAGGGCATGCTAATGAACAACTTTGATTCAAAAAAATTTTCAAAATCCCCGTTTACAAGCAAAAAAACTCAGAAAAACCGGTTTTTCTTTGTTTAAACAATTTTCCTGGCTACAAAACACGGGTTCTAGCGGGGACAAATGGAGGGCATATTCGTGGGGGTCTATACTACCTAGGAAAAAATTGGCTAAGCGCTGGTATCTTAGAGTAGAAGTCGGTCCAAATTATGGCTATTCCGACTGGACTAAAAATATTCACACTCCGAAATTTTCAGTTACTAAGTAGAAAAAAATATGATAAGTTTTTGGACCATAACTCCTTCAATTTTCATGCTAGCACAATTTATGTAAAACCATTGTAAAGGTAATTAAGAGAGCTACAACATCCTTCATTGCAATATATATTAAAAAACCTTTTTCTAAAACGGTGAAGGGTTAAAGGGCTTAAGAGAGGCTGTGATTGCGCTGCCACGCGCTCTTTAAACAATCATATCTCCGTCAATTTTATTTTGACAGGAAAAACAAAAAACCAAATTGTTTGCCAGAAAAATACCTAAATTTTGGAATCGTAGACTTTTATACGTATCTGTCGTCATTTTTGAGATATTATGAAAAAAAAGTGGGTATTTTAAAAAATAGAAATTTTGGTTTTTCTTTTAATCGTGACTTTTTTGAAAAACATGTGTCCTGAAGCAGCCAAACTGATACTATCTATCAAACTCTTCATAATAAAATTAATTCTAGGCGGAATACGATTAATTTTAATTTTGGTGGAAATGACACTTATGAAACCCATTGATTTAAAAGAAAAAACATTAGATGCTCCCCTTATTTGCAATACAGCTCACTTATTTTAAGTGCAAAAGACTTTTAATACCGCTCATATTAAAGCTTATTTCAAGCACTACAAAACCCTTTTGTATTAGAATGCATAAAATGCACCTGCTCGCCGCTAGATGGCATTGACCACATCGATTAAATTTCAGACAAAATAAAAAACGGCTTTGATCTTTAATATCTAGCTTAATATTGCACTTAGAATACTTTATAAAAAACCAAATTGTTTATTGTTTTACCTGCTACAATTTTGTTTTTATAAAATTTTCGATGAAACTTATATTTTTGGAGATATTTGCAAAAAACCGATGAAAAACGGGGAAAAATTTCAAATTTTCAATTGCCAATAACTTGAAAAGTATTGAATTTTTTGAAAAACTTTATAGATGATTTTTTGCTTAGAATTAGACTTTCTATCGAAATCCGAGGTTATTTTGAAAAAAAATAATCCACCCCCGAGAAGGGGTGGCAACCACCCCCAGGGTGGTTGCGGAGTTCAAATCATTTTCACTTTTGAAGTTAAGGGTAAGATGAACCTAATTCCAAAATTGTATGCAATTCGGTTCACAGTAAAAAAATTCGGAGCAATAATGCTTCAATGACTGCACGATAGGGGATTGGGCCAGGATAGGCAGCGATGCGAGCGAGTATTTTTGGAGTGTTCCACAACACTTACGTTTGTTTTATTTGCAGATTCAATATGGAAGCAGTAGTGTTTGATGGAAAATCTCTGAAGCTCTCTTACGAGAAATCATATCCAAAGCCGCAGATAGTGAACGACACAGATGTCATCGTGAAGGTGGAATATTCCGGTATCTGCGGTACAGACGTGCACATCATACAGGTTAGAATAAAAACCTGCCATACGGGCTGGGTTCCGTACCATTTGCTGAGTCATTTCTTTGTCGTACTATTCGTAAGTGGAATTGTTTGCCCACGCACGTGTTCCTTCCTTCCTACAATCTGGGCTCCTTTAGGAGAGGCGTGAAGAAGCATTTTTGCAGGCCGGCAAGGTGAGGATGGTTGGTGTGGCAGTTTATGACTGATGTACCAGCTATCTTCGCGTTTGGACTTTATCACCACTTAACATCAGGTGGGAAAATCCTCATAAAATTTGAACCAAAACGTGGATAATTAGTGTCGCCGCATACGGGCCACCGACCACAACCACAAAACGCCGCCACCGGCATATTTCTTGTAGTTTTCATACATTTTATATGGACTCGCCAGACACGGTACGCCGGTGGCCGACACACGCTACAAATCGTCGTTGCTCGCTTCTTGTGGCCCGCACCGGCCACTTAATGCCGATACAAAACGCCGCCACACGTCACCTCTCTCGCGCGATTCCCCACCTCTCTCGCCTTTACCTTAGTCGGCCGCTGTCGCACGCTTTAGCCACTTTAGTAGCCGCTTCTAGCTTCTTGTGGCGGCGTTAGTGGATGTGGCGTGTGGCCCGTGTGCGGCGACATTTAAGTCCTGTGAAAACGGAGCCTAGCCAGGAATAATGCGATAATTTTAATAATACAGTACAGGTCAGACTTATCCCCGAGTAGTAAAGCAGTATAGAGCAGACTCATCCCCGAGTAGTAAAGCAGTACAGAGCAGACTCATCCCCTAGTAGTAAAGCAGTACAGAGCAGACTCATCCCCGAGTAGTAAAGCAGTATAAAGCAGACTCATCCCCGAGTAATAAAGCAGTATAGAGCAGACTCATCCCCTAGTAGTAAAGCAGTATAGAGCAGACTCATCCCCGAGTAATAAAGCAGTATAGAGCAGACTCATCCCCTAGTAGTAAAGCAGTACAGAGCAGACTCATCCCCTAGTAGTAAAGCAGTACAGAGCAGACTCATCCCCTAGTAGTAAAGCAGTACAGAGCAGACTCATCCCCGAGTAGTAAAGCAGTATAGAGCAGACTCATCTCCGATTAGTAAAGCAGTACACAGCAGGCTCATCCCCGAGTAGTAAAGCAGTACAGAGCAGACTCATCCCCGAGTAGTAAAGCAGTACAGAGCAGACTCATCCCCGAATAGTAAAGCAGTATAGAGCAGACTCATCCCTGCTGGTGTTTAGATTTAGAGTTCTACTTATGTGATTGATTTTTTGAGTTTATGGTTTCAAAATCAGAAATTAACTATGTGTTTCAGTGGTTTCTAGTCTAGCTAGCTCACATCGGTTTACAGTTATTATGAATATTGTTTTTTTCCAATTCCCAGGGAGAGTTCCGCGCGAACAAGGAGCGCCCCCTACCGTTGGGCCACGAGTTCAGCGGCGTGGTACACCAGGTGGGCAAGGCGGCCATCTTCAAGGTCGGGCAGAAGGTCGTTGTTGACCCTAACAGGTAATTAATTATTCATGTTAAGAGCCCTCTCACTTTTTTTTCAAAATTCGTAATTTGTGAGCGCCTCATTTACACCCTTAGATTTTTTTTTGATTATTTCCAATAGAAGTAAACAGTAGACTTATTCTTCCTATTGTAAGTTAATGTAAAATATTTGCAAATACTATTTTCTTTTTTTTTGTACTGATCGTTCTACTGCAGCTAGTTTACGGAAACAACTATAATATGCACAACTTTAAACGCCTCAATCTCTCAATAATGTTCAATAAATTAGATTAAATTAATTTCTACTACATCAGAAATATGTCATTGTTGTAACATAATGTATTAGAATTTTGATTTTCTATCTCATTAATTATAAAAAAAAAAATATAACCTTCGTGAATTTTTCTCAAAAAATAATGCAGGTATATATATATATATATATTCTATACGTATATAGAATAGGCCCAAAATAACTTGAATTACACTAGGTAATAATACAAAATCTACGTACTTTGTCCTGTTACGGTGGATTGTCAGCATCCACCACCGTCTTTTGCGCCATTTTTTTAATAACTTTGTTGCGGTACACACTTCTGTTATATTTGTAAACAGAATATAAATAAATAGCCGCGGCCGTAATTACTTCCACGTCCATCACGAGTGTTTCGCCAGGCAACAGTGACGGTGGCCCATTGTGTAAACGCCGTTTCGCGATGCGGCGCTGCTGGCCGATCGTGGCGCATGGCAAACAAGCATAATATGGCCGTTTGCTGGTAAGCGGACACCATAACCTATAGTTACGATTACCAACTTTTTTTTGAAGTTATACTTCTTTAGGCGCGTTATGAAAAAATTATGAGAGTGAAATTTTAAGATGCGCGCGCATTACTGTAACACAAAATTTTAACAGCATGAAGTTGGTCGCTTTAGCGCCCAACTTCATGCTGTTACTTTTGTGTTTACCGCACATTAAGAAAATCTACCAACAAAATAGAAATAGAATCTCTATTTAGTGGGTGCTAACGACTGCATTGTGAAGGCCTATCAAAAGTATTTATTAATCTGGAACAACGGAACCAAAGCGCGATTCAGGAGACTACAGCGCCATCTCTTGACCATTGGTGTAGTAGAACCAAAAACCACATCTTTATTTTTCAATGTTACTTTTATGTTATTATTGTAATAAAGTAACAGTTATAGGTATTCATATTTATAATATTTATCCACATGTTTCTAGTTTGTATATTCGGAATACGTGTTTGAGTTTCATACAAGTGCAAATCACAAATGTTCTAATAAATTATATTCAGTAGCGATTTTAATTGAATATTATGATTATTTATTTATTTTTTCAAATTAAAACTAAACTTTATTGACTGTGTCCTTTTCCAGACTTTTTATTAATTTATTGTAATTAATTATTTGCATGCAATTAATAACTAATTTTAAACGATGCCAAAGAAGGATAACTTCTCACGCGCCTACATAAGTACACGCACCCATTTTTTTCTATCAAATATAGTATTTTCGAAGAAAAATATAGTAAGATGGCAAAAAAATTGAAAAAACATAGTATGCGGTAAACATATTTACTTTATTTTTGAAATAAATAGGTATATTTTTGCTGCTCTATGCCTCAATTATTAAACTAAATATTTACAGTAGTTTCGCCTACTATATCTTTTTTTTTCTTAAATATAGTATTTGATCCCTTAATATAGTACGATACTATATTATATAGTAGGGTTGGCCACCTTACTTATAGTATGGAGGCTCGCGTAACAAAAAAATACACTCGCTCCGTTGTTGCCTACCCTGGCTCAATCTCCTACACCGCGAAGCCCAGGAATCTTACTCACAAACAGAAACACAACTATTACTATATTGATGTGTAACACCTTTCCTCTCGCTTTCCTGCAATTTGTGGGAGTGATTTCGTGAAATGGGACGAAAGTGTGTAACAGGAAGTCGCGAAAGCGCGCGCTATTTCATATGATTTTAGAACATAATGTTCAAATGGCTTATTCCTTTTGTAGTAGGTTCTATTTCTTTTTTTACTAATATAAAGTGTGGTTTCAAATGTTACACATCATACGCGACTACTGTAAGGCTCGCTCGTTAATTTTTATTTTACTATGGTTTCTGTAAGGTGGAGGTAACTTCCCCAGACGGGCGCCCTAATTCGATTCGATAGGATATTGAAAGTTAGGCAACTTTCGCAATGACTAAATGTCATAAGAGGGTTACTAAAATTATTTACTATATATCTAGATCGCATCGTACATCCTTCTCTCACTCATCATCATCATCCTTTTAATGATCCCAGAGCTCGCCTAGTAGGTCATGGATCGATCTCCCAAGTCAACCATAGGGAAGGCCCACAGAACACAGAGACTGTTTGTACGGGAACAAAAATCGCCGGCTCGCCCCCCCTAATAGATAATAGCCAATCAAACGGCGCGACATCAAACGATCGAACCAATCAGCGCTCACACGAGAGCAACGACGTAATCAAAACCAAGTTTTGGTCAAATTATGAGCATTTGCTCACACATAACTATGGCGGGCCTACCACGCCTACAAGGCCCTTCTAACCTCTTTTTGTGTTCTGTGGGTAGGCCTATGGCCCAGCAGCGAGGACTAGGCTGATGACAATGCTAGCAGCCAGTGCCGTCTTTGAACTATTGGAGGCCCTGGGCATATTAGGATAATGGGGCCTCTATGACTTCCGTTTGGTGATTTAACAGGAACTAGGGACTTTGTATTTGATCTGAGGGGGGCCCCTATCGATCGCGGGGTCCTGCAATGTGCCCACTGGGAAAGACGGGTCTGCTAGCAGCATTGGTCTGATTTCAGTCATAAAGATGTTGAAGTTTATTTTTTTTTCAGCTCATGTCTGCTTTGTGATTATTGCCGTAAAGGCAACTACCAGCATTGCTTGACCGCCGGCATCAACAGTACGATCGGCATTTGGCGGGACGGCGGCTGGGCTCAGTATTGTCGAGTGCCACAAGACCAAGTGTACGCGTTGCCTGATGGAATAACTACAGAGCAAGGTACTTAGCGATTTATATGCTTGCTTGATCTGATGAGGAAGGAGTTTTAGAATGAATGATAGCTGCGCTGTGATGGAAGAAGATTGCTTGCTGCTGCTGTGCTCAGTTGAGGGTCACCAGTTGGATAAGCTTTTAGATTAAAACAAAAAGGGGCTACGGTACGCTCATACTAGCATCAAATAAAATATGCCCCGACTCAACTACATCTGCTCCGGAGCAACTCTCACACACTCACACCTCTGTAAACACATACATTCAATCGAGCGAAAAAAATTACATTCTTTTGAGCAAGCGAGACAGAACTGTACGCTTCAACGCAGCGCGAGCGAAACGGCGACTCCGCTTCTCTTGGCAACGACTGCGTTTTCTATTCTCTCTCTACAAACCGTTGAGCTGTATGGTTGTCATTTTCTTGATAACAAATGTCGAATAAGTAATAGGGGTGATGACGGGGTACAGTAAACGAAATTCTATTTAATCCGTCAGTTAGATGATCAAAAAATAATGGACACGTATTTTTTCTTTGGGCAATGAACCAAAAAATTACAAAGTTACAGCGCGTCAAAATTTGGGAGTAGGGGCTCGTGACGTCACTTTTGGGTGAATTTTCACTTATAAGTGTACTCAAACGTGACGTCATGCGACTTTTCAAATCAATATATCTCTGCAATGTTTATATTATGTGAAAAAAGAAAAAATACGTGTCCAATACTTTTTGATAATCGACCTGATAAACGAAGAAAAAAAAATAGTCATCATCCCTATTAACATTCATGACAAACCGTGTTTTTGAGGAAAAATGTTTTATGAGTTTTACCAATGAAAAGTGTTTCCGTGGCTATTTGTTTTCTTTATGAAAGCATCGAAGGCATTGTTTTATCTTTATAACACTGAATATACGTAATGTGCACATGCAGCGTGTTTGAATATCTAATTGTGACTAAAGCGAATTGTGGTCTTGCACAGCGGATCACTTTTGAGCCGCGAGTGCCGTATCTTCCCTTTTTGTTTTAATCTAATGGTACCAAACTCTTGTGCGATGTAACGCCATCTGTTGTTATGGAGTGCCAAGTCGTGTTTATTTTTTATATGTGGGGCACAAATAGGGGAACGCAGAGAAAATAGAAAATATCGATTTCATAAACAAAGTGTTCTTATACATACAAATGTTGCATGCTTGCAATGTTGGCCATCAGGACCGCGAGTTTGAGTCCCGTCTGCTGCTGGTCCGCGTGGAATTGTTTTCTGCTATATTTTTCTTTAGATTTAAACATATTTATTACTATACTAGAGGTCGCCCGCGACTTCATCTGCGTTAACTTAGTTTCTTGAAAATCCCTCTGGAACCTAACATTTTTCGGGATAAAAGTAGTCTATGTGTTAATCTAGCGTGTCAGCTAACTCCATACCAAATTTTATTAAAATCGCTCCAGCCGTTTAGACGTGAAGAAGTAACAAACATACACACTCACATACTTTTGCCTTTATAATATTAGTGTGATATAAACATTTTTTAAATCTATTGGAGTATCTTTTATTTACGCCTGGATGAGTTGGGTATTATTCGTATTTATTATTATGTTATGTTTTGAACTAAAGTCGAGATCTTATATTTACGTAGTTACTGCATCAATTATTTATTTCTTTTCATTAAATGGTGTTATTAGCGACCTCCGTGGCCGAGTGGTTTGTACACCGGGTTTCATGGCGTCGCCGACTCGAGAGGTCCCGGGTTCAAATCCCGGTGGGGGCAGATGTTTGTGTGATGAATACAAGCATTTGTATTCCACTCATGGATTTTTAATATGTATTTTCTATATAAATATACTTATTTATGTACAGTATATGTATTCTATCCGTTACCCTAGTATCCTATAACACAAGCTTTATAGTGCTTACTTTGGGGCTAGGTGAATCGGTGTGAGTGTTGGAAATATTTATTTATTTCTTCTTTGTTACATACATATAACTAAAATGTACTTACCTACACTTTTTTTTTTGAAAACATAATCTGAATTCGTAGTTGAAACCATTTATTTGTCGGTCGTCGATCATTGATCTATATATTATATCCAAACTTCACAAAACCTATTTTAAATTTCCAGCTGGCCTCTGCGAGCCGTATTCCTGCGTGTCACACGGGTTCGACCGCGCCTCGCCGCTGCTGGTCGGCGACAAAATACTGATAGTGGGAGCTGGTATTATTGGTGAGTAGACTACTCATCATCATCATCATCATCTGCCTATTAATGTCCCCACTGCTGGGGCACAGGCCTTCCCTATGGATGGAATAGGGAGATTGGGCCATGACCCACCACGCGGGCCCAGTGCGGATTGGTGGGTGCTAACGACTGCAGATGCAGCCGGGACCAACGGCTTAACGTGCCTTCCGAAGCACGGAGGAGCTCGAGATAGTAAATTTTTGGTCACCCATCCAATGACCGACCACTGCGAAAGTTGCTTAACTTCAACGACCGCAGCCGAACGCGCTAACCACTTGCGCTATTGAGCTCCTAGAGTCTCAAGAACTTCTTATTCAGTGATACAGTTAACTGTCGGTCTACTACTACTACTACTAGTCTACTACTAGTCTACGGTCTACTAGTAGACTACTACTACCAACATATTATTCGGCCGAATACCGAATACTTAAATAATATATTTTGTCATAGAGAAGTAATTGGTAAAATGAAAAATTAAATCGATTGATTACGTATATATTCATATTTTCATTTCTGTTATATATAATCATTTAAGTACTCATTGGTACTTAACACAGGTACATAATATCATCTTCTGAATTGGAAATATGGAGGATTCTATGTATTTGAATTATTGTGGTAATCAAAATTTAGAAGGGTAAGGTTCTCATTTTTTTATTTAAAATAGCCGAATACTTTTGCCTAATATTCGGCTATTCGGTCAGGGGCCTCGCCGAATATTCGGTATTCGGTATACTGCTGAGTATACTATTCGTTGCAATGTTATTGGTGAGTAAATCTATGGCTCACATCTATACTAATATAATAAAGCTGAAGTTTTGTAAGCTTCCTTTGCGTTCGCTGCGTAAACGGTAAAAGTTACAAAAAATCATGTAAGGTCCCCCGGAGCAATTGTAGCCATGGGGCAAATGTAGCTGTTTCAAATAACTCGTTACTGTGTCGTTTTTAAAATAACAAACATTTGTGGCTTAGTAGAGTTACTTTTGCCCCCCAGAGCCACAGATGTTTTGTTTTAAACTTTCATGGTCAATAACATTATAGTAATATAAGTTATTTACGGGATTGTTACCATGTACCTTGTTTTTAGCGGTGGTAACAATCCCACAGATTTTAAAAACGAATCAGTAACGAGTTATTTAAAACTGTTACATTTGCCCCATGGCTACATTTGCCCCGGGTGACCTTATAACGGAATTGTTTCCCTTTTAAAGTTTTTAAAGTAGTCCGCCACAGTGCTGGCTATGTTTTATGGTTGATTCACCATGACCTTTTTCTTCAAACTAATGCTGGTGAAAACGTAGGGTACCTTTAGTATCTCGTGGTAGAATCCCAAACGGGGACCCCGCGGCTTCGCATTAAGCAGTGTAGAAGGTATTCGCAGGACCTTTTTTAGCGGATATTATGCCGTAAAGCGCCCGTAAGAGTTGCAGGGTCCTCGGTGGGCAGCCACTGGGGGGTCCGTAAGGCTTGCGGGAGCCAGGTGTGAGGTCCGTTCGGCGGTGTACTTCTTAAAGGCGCCGTCGTTTGTAAAAAGATTTTTTACTCGCGTTATAAAAAAAATAAAAAAGGGTACCTTTAGTATTAAATAAGGATTGATTCAAGGAAAGACTTAAGTAAAACATCATAAGCTTTCTTTACAGAGCATGTCTCATCATCAGCTTATAATGTCAACACAGACCTTCCTTATGGGTAGAACAGGAAGATTGGGTACTAATGACAGCTAATTAGGGGGCGTCCATAAATTACGTGAGATGTTTAAGGGGGGGGGAGGGGGTCGAGTCAAATCTCATCTAATCTTACGTTGGAGAGAGGGGGGGTCGAATCAAATATCATGCAATTTTTTTTCTGACTGAAACAAAAAAAGAATATACTATTTGGTTCCATTTAATCCAGATAGTACATGCTTAAAATTTAATCTTAAGCGTAATCGTAATACGATTAAGATCATTCACTATTTCGTTCGAAAGAAATAACTCTCAGCAATATTGATTACTAGTCTTAACTAGTCGTAAATAAAAGCACGAAGCATTTTTTTTTCTTTTAACAATAACAATCCAACGAATTTAAGTAAGAAACCCACATTTTGAAAAATCTCACGTGAGATTGGGGGATGGGTCAGGGGGTTGAAAAAAATCTCACGACATCTCACCAGGGGAGAGGGAGGGACAGAAAATTCAAAAAAACACCTCACGTAATTTATGGACGCCCCCTTAACATAACATAAACATAAATAAACACTAAGGATGGTTGGTGTGGCAGTTTATAACTGCTGTACCAGCTATCTTCACGTTTGGACTTTATCACCACTTAACATCAGGTGGGGTAGAGTCATTTGCCTGGCTCGCTATAAAAAAAATAAAAAAAAAAGCAACATCACCAAAACGTAGCGTTATTTGCCATGATCTTCTGTAAGCTGTCGGTTACTTCATCTGACGGGCGTTCCAATTCGAGCGGAAACTTCTGCCCTATTGTCGACTTTATAAAGAAATATCGTTGTTCCTTTATAGGTAATCTGTGGGTGACTGCTCTCCATCACCAGGGACACAGGGATGTGACCGTCTCCGAAATGAACAAGTCGAGACTGGAGATTGTCAAAAAAATGGGTACGTATGTAACGTAATTTTATTGTAATAAGTGGGATCGGTTTTCTTGTTTCATTGCGAGTTCCCTCATCATCTTCAGCCTATTAACTGCTGGGGCAAAGGCTTTCCATTTGGATGGTATAGGGAGATAGGGCCATGACCTACCACGCGGGCCCAGTGCGGATTGGTGGGTGCTAACGACTGCAGATGCAGCCTGGACCAACGGCTTACCGTGCGTTCTTAAGCACGGAGGAGCTCGAGATAGTAAATTTTTGGTCACCCATCCAATGACCGACCACTGCGAAAGTTACTGAACTTCAACGATCGCAGCCGAACGCGCTAACCACTTGCGCTATCGAGCTCCTAGAGTCTCAAGAACTTCTTATTCAGTGATACAGTTAACTGTCGGTCGGTTAGGAATGATCCGAGACCCGTGTTTACGCCATGTTTACGAAAAAACTCAGTTTATTGCATTGTTCATAGTGCTGAAATATCAGAGACCGGCTTAAAATAGCATACAATGTTTAGATCACTCGATGGAAACTTTCTGTTAGTCAGGTACAAATGCATATTTGATTTGACTGGAGAACCTCTCTCTCTATAAACCTTATGTAAATATTTTTGTGATTGATGATGAAAAATGTTTCAGTAGAGTATGAGATCATAGCGAACACTTAGGCCCGTATTACAGAATGACAATTATAAGTGCTGATCTTTATTTGAGTACAGTTAGAAAGGGATATCGCTATGGGCTATTTATAGCGACATCCCTTTCTAACTATGCTCAAGACTAGATCAATCACTGAGAATCTTTCTATAATACGGGCCTAAAACAGAAATATGCGATGATGGAATTCGTTTTATAAAGTGTAGGATGACTTGTACTTCATCTTCATTTCTGTTTAATAAATGAATATTTCAAGGTCCTCGTATGTCAGCATTTCGCTAAGAAGTCATAACAATTTCAATTTCTATGATCTTATGATCAAACTCTGGTTAATCCACCTAATATTAATATTATTTGTAACAGTATTTTGTTTTATTATAGTATTCTTAAGTCAGTATAGTGGTATTTATGGTCTAGTACCCATTAGACCCTCAAGATTCGACCCAAAAGCAAAAAGTGCCCATTGGACCTCTTTTTTGGTGTCTATTGGACCTTCTTAAAACATTTTATATTCAATGTGCCCATTGGACCTCTTTTTTGGTGCCCATTGGACCTCCTTAAACATTTTATATTCAGTGTGCCCATTGGACCTCTTTTTAAGTGCCCATTGGACCTTCAAGATTATACCCTACTGCCAGTTCGACCTTATTAACAGTTTTGTTAAGCACAGTACAGTCATGTAGAAAATTGCAGACAAAAATAAAATTAATAGTAGGTATTATAAAGCCACTAACTAAATACTGTATTAGTACTGATTCCAAACAGTAAGTAGTCCTAAACAAATTATAAAGAAATCAGGTTACCTTTTCTCTTCGAATTAACGACATTTCGCCGTCCCCGGAGAATAAAAAGATAACTACAAAAACGTAAGTTTTCAGGAAAAATAAAAAAAAAACTGTTTTTTGTCTATTGCTCTATAAATACTGGACGCAGACAGATGATTAAGTAAGACGTAAGTAAGAAGTACCTTTAAGAAAAGCAAATTTTTAACACATTTGGATTTTTTTGTAAGGTACTCGTACAATAAGATATAATGGAGATATTTAGAAAATAAAAAGTGAATCAAAAGTAATCAAAATTTAATTTGTATAATGTTTATTTTTATTTTATTCGTATTGACAAGGGGCCAAAACCAAATATTGCACTACTGACATGTATTTTTATTCTATGTGTTATAAGGGTGCAAGTGACAATGATAATATTTCAATATCTTTTTTTTTTCGTAAATATTGTAAAACCTCTTTTTCTTTAAAGGACATAATATATGTTTGTGCTTTAGGCTTAAAAGAATGATCATTAATTACATTAATTTAAAATTTAATTAAATTAATGATCATTAATGTAAAAAGGTTTCACTCAATAGGGCAATCGTACACTGACCAATAAATACCCTTACAGTGCAACACCAAATCCACAAGACCTTTCAAATCGAACAAAGTTTGATTGATTCAAAGTTCCTTAAAACAGCTTGGATCTAGACAATCTAAGCAACATTATGGTGGATTTTGCAACGAAATCATCTTTTGATCTAAGACTGAAATTCTGAGGTAGATTGAGTGTTTTTATCGACATTTATACTCCTCTTAAGCACCTAATGAAAGGAAGGTTATAGATTCCAAGCCCAAGCAATCTCTGCGCTTAAACAAAAGGATGGCGTTGATCTCATATGTGGGAGAGAGAGAGAAAATTTGCTGTCTCGTTCCGATTTATGACCTATGTTGCAGCTAGAAAATAATCTTATAACCGTAGGCCATTGCTTAGAAAAAATACTCACATTTGTATCTTAAATATTTAATTTGGTAATTTATAATGTTTTACAAAAGACTGTTAAATTTTTTATGGAGGTAGGTAGTGGGTTAGTGGGTCTTTCGGCAGACTCCCAAGTTTTTATGAGACGCAGCGCACTTAATTGTGAATCGTTTGACAAAAAACTAGAATTTTATTTTATCCCGGTTTTTTATATTAAAATAACATAAATCTATCTAATAATTGATTTGCAAATGGCAAGTTTATTTATCTATTTTTTGTTGCCAAGCATCAAATATATTATATTCAATGTGTAACAAAAGCAGTGATAATAATTTTGATAATAATCCATGACTGGACTGATTGACATTTGCCATAGTGATTGAGTTGACGTTATAAGCCACCACGCACTAAAAATATGACGTTACTAAGATAGGGTAGCCAGCATACTTAAAAAATTGTTTAATTATTAAACACGATTTTAAATTAATCGGTAATGAATAAAAAAATCAAAGTATCTATTCATGTTATACAAACTTTCAAAATATATATATTTCGTCCCTGCCGGAAACCGACTACCGCTTTTGAACCATATCCTTTAGTTAAAGTATGTTTTTATTATAAGCAATTTCTGGCTAATTGTAAAAATATGATTAGAAATAATTTTTTTATAAAATGTAATATGAAAATATTACATTAGTATTTTATTTTATGAATATTTAGAATACATAATAATTGTGCTTCAATAGTTAATGTGAGTGATATAAAAACTGTATGTTTAATTTAGTTAAGATATCTGATAAAAAAAACATTTCTATTTAAAAGTAAAATAACAAAATCTGAGATTTGATTATTATATTCTATGGTTTCTTGCTGATGATTGATATTTCGAATTTTATAAATATGTTGATTTTAAATACTTACATTTATAACCTTTGTGCTTTTATTTATTTTATCAATATTTAGAATATATAATAATTGTGCTTAATCTATGTGATATAACAAACCATATTTATAATTAAGTTAAGCTATTTCATAAAAAATAATTTCTATTGGCTTTAAAAGTAAAGTAAAAAATCTGTGATTTGATTATTATATTTTATGTAAATATTTATATTGGTTGTTACTGATGGAGAGTTTTGAATTTTATAAAAATGTTGATTAAATACTTAGAATTATAACCTTTGTGTTTTTATGTCTTTTACAATGTTACTTTACTACACGACTGTACTTTACCGTTCCAAAAGAATTAGCCAAATAGTTAAGAGCTCCAATAGCTCCCATTGTGTTGTTAAGTACGTCTTTGAGGGTCCAATGGGCACCATGTTCTTGATAGGAGGTCGAACGGGCACTTTTTTGTAGGTAAGGTCCAATTAGGAGGGTCCAATGGGTACTAGACCGTATTTATTATTGTATACATTTAGGTATTTATCGTATATATAAATATGTATATATGTATATATGTATATATGTATATAGATGTTATGTTTTATAAATTTTATATTAAGTGTATCATGTAGTTTTATCGTTTTTTTTTGCTTTCACCTTTTGCTTTTATTTACTTTACCGCATAATGTCTCTGCTTAGCCCGATGGTTGACTGGTAGAGAATGCCATGTGGCATTAAGTCCGCCATTTGTTGTAAAATGACAATAAAGAGTAAATAAATAAATAAATATGAGATGAATATAGGTATGATGATGATAGATGAATAATTATGAATTTATTATTTTTTCAGATACTGGATTCAGATTAATATCACCAGACGTGCTGTCACAGGAGAAGCAACTGTTTGACGTGATAATAGACTGCACAGGTAAAACATAGCATAATGATAATATTTACTTTCAACTTAGAATTGATTAACGTAATATATAAATATAATAACGTATAAACATGTCAACATATATTACATTAACTTAATCCTATTTTAACATAGGAGACCCGGCACTTTTCATAGAAAAAATGCTAAACTTGTATACAGTTGAATTTGGTCTCAAAATAAAGCCAAAATTATTTGCTACATAAAACTACTTTTGCCTTATTTTTAGTGAATCGTGGGAAGAAGTTATATAATGATTAATATTTTTTGATATGGAAACCCTAAATCTTCAAGGGACAGAATTTTACTTCAAAATATTACTCAAGTGACTGTAAAAACCATGATTCCTTTGCTTTTTCTAAATAAAAAACCAAATGTCAATTTGACAATCCTAAAATACAAAGCAAAATCCTAAAATACAAAATCATTCGCATTTCGCATCCGCTCCCGCGTACTGTGATTGTGAATGTTCTCTGCTGTGATTGCCTTTTTATCCGTTATTTCTGTTGACGACCCGGCTACATATAGAGGTTATATTGACAAACCTACGTATTTGACATTGACAGCTAGCTGCTGATGTCAAATATTGCCAGACTACGTTACCCAATTATGAAACACAGATAAAAAAATTAAAAAAGTATACAACTATGGCACAAAATGCCGGGTGTCCTTTAATATATTTAAATATCTGTAACTCTGGGAAGCAACACGCGTATAGACAGCATATTTGTCTTGTCTTGCTATTGTTCGGTGTCGCTTGCCTAATTTGCCGAGTAAAGGGAATCGCCCGAGTGTATAGACCTCATTTTGCGTCGCTTATCCACTCGCTGGTACTCGCCAACATTTATCTCGCGTCGTCCATAATAACTTAACGATCTCCGTGTCCGATTGGTTGGTACGCCGGGTTTCATGGTGTCGCCGACTCGAGAGGTCCCGGGTTCGAATCCCGGTGGGGGCAGATGTTTGTGTGATGAATACACATTTGTACTCCAGTCATGGATGTATAATATGTATTTCTGTATCATCATTATTGTCATCATCATCAGCCAATTAATGTTCCTACTGCTGGGGCACAGGCCTCAGGCAGAATAGGGAGATTCTATCCATAGGAAAGGCAAATCAAAAAAATCCAGTGCGGATTGGCAGGTGCTAACGACTGCAGATGCAGCCGTGACCAACGGCTTAACGTGCCTTCAGAAGCACGGAGGATCTCGAAAGACATACAGAGATTTCTGTTTAAATATACTTATATATGTACAGTATATATATATTCTAACCGTTACCCTAATATCCCATAACACTACAGTGCTTACTTTGGGGCTAGGCTATTTGGTGTGTGTTAATAAAATAAAACAAAATCTGATAGCTCACTAACATATGGACAGCTGCACAAAGCTTGTCTTTAATGGCCACTTGCAATGGTCTTCTTCAAACTTGCCCAACGTTTTAAACGGTAGCACTTGCCTTGTATATGTTTGTCTAAGCTCGCGTTGGCTTAAGCTCGGCCAATATGTATTGGCGGCTTTAAATAAAAACCTTACTGAATGGTACTTATTTACTAAAGTTCTTATCAATTTATCTATGCAGGTGTAGGAAAAGTGATGGAAATAAGCTTCGGTTATTTGAAACCTGGCGGCAAATATGTCGTCTTCGGATGCTGCCCACCGACTCATCAAGCCACGTGAGTAATCACCAACATAAGCCTGTTAATATTTCCACTGTTGAAGCACAAGTCTTACCAAGCGTTCTCGGGGGGGGGGGGGGGGGGGTAACGGGCTTAACGTAAGGAGAGGAGTTACTTGTTACTTGTCGTGGACTTCATAGTTAGTCCATTATGCGTGCAAGGTTGATTGGGATAGCTAGCACAGCCAGCCCAGCTCCTCCCAGAAGCGCAGTGGACTGCTGGGACTCTCACAGGCTTCTAGGAGCGTCTTCGGCGTCCCTAGGATTGATGCCCGGTGTTCTGCCACGCTCATGCATTCCAGGATCACATGAGCAGCCGTTTCATCTGCTTCTAGACATCCTCTGCACTGAGAACTAACTGTAACATGTATGGCGGTGTGGATTCTGGTATGGTTTTCTAGACCTGAACTTGGTTTTGCAGCGGTGTATCCTTGTCATTCTTTATACAGATTGAAAAGGGGGGACTGATGTTCGATTTGGTTTTGGGTTGGGAGAGTAGTGCCAGAATCGACAACAGTGTTTGGGTAATCACATGCATGTGTCCTGCCGTTATGTTTATAATTTGTTATAATAATGTACTCTGGTACTTATATATTTTTTTCTATCTTTGTAACATAGTATCCATGTGTGGTTATGAGTAGTCATGCTCTCTTAAAAATCTCTTCGGTGGCGTCGTGTGAGGCGGGTCGTTGCGTTCCCTAAAAAATGGTTGAGCGAAGCGATGGCTGGTTCATGCGTCATGCTCGTGAACGGGTGCTGCCAGCGGAGATGAGTCTGCTCTTGCTTCATTGGATACTATTAACCGTTGTACTAAACTTTAATCGTTCATTTTTTTTTGCCTAAACAGCAGGACACGGCATTCCTAAACTTTGTTAAACCAGTTTTTTATATAGTCATAATTTTTATTATATTAGCATTTGTAATGGAAAGTGACTTTATGAGTTACCTCATATTGAAGTCATTTTTCAATTTGACGACTCTGTACAGGGAGAAAAAAACAGCCCTTGCTGAGTTTCTTGCCGGTTCTTCTCAGTACAAGGTCTCCCGCCGTAGATTTGCGAACCGATGGCGTAGCTTTTCGACATTCACAAGTGCTTGTAACAGCCTAGACTGAATAAACGATATTGAATTTTGAATTTTATGGTTAGTAAATGCTTATTTAGCAGGCGATGCCCTGTTATAGTGGAGCATTACTCCGAGATCAATTCGGCTAAGATTTATTAGTTTTCTAGTTAGTCTTGGGTTGAGGCTAGGGAAGATAGCCTTAGATTGCCTGCAGCCCTCGGTATTGGCCTAGTGGGTGTTGTTGTTCTGTATGGTTTGATGGCGCACCCATGTACGAATTTAGTTAAAGGGTAACGGCAGGAGCGGCTCAGGGCCTTCCACTTTGTGAGCTGATCCCCTTTTAGCCAGTACGTTGGCTAAAAGGCTGCGTCATTACCATAAAGCCGCTGTGTCCCTTGATCCATTGAAGGATAACCTTGTTTAGCAGAAAGGTGTGAAAGATAACACATTTTTGGTCACCCATCCAGCTATTGCGAAAGTTGCTTGATTTCCATGATGGCAACCACATGCACCATGCATTATCAGTCTATAAGTCCCCACTGCTGGGACTCCAAAGATAAGGCATAGCGAATATTTCCATTCGCATTGATAAGACTATCTAGGGAAGCGACATTTACCTTACAAAAGATTATAGTGAAAATAACACTACCCTGTCGGCGATTAAGTGGAGAACTGGTCATAACCCACCATGTGGCCCTAATGCAGATTTGCGGGTGTTTTTACAAATGTAGGCGGGTCTAAAGATCAAAGCACATAAGTACACGAAATAAAGAAATTTTAGTCGCCCATCATATAGCCGGCCATTGCAAAAGTTGCTCAATATCTGCAACCGCAAATCTAGTAGACTTACTTCAACGCCAGCAACTTGGAAATTTAATCTTACGTAATACTACCAGTATTGGTGTCTGCGGTTTCGACTGTGTGGAAAAATTGGTTTCCCATACAAATTTCTACCCCCCTTGATTTTTGGGATATACATTATCCCATGTCCTTTCCCGGGACTAAAACTATCTGTGTATCTTTCTTTCTTTCGATTCAGTGGTTCTTACTTCTTAAACCACTAGTTAGTTCGTGAACCTATGAAAAGATGACCTTTACAGCGTCACCGGTTTTGGGGACGACGAGATCCTAAAGGGACCACAAGCCGAGAATTGGCGAGTGCCTCTACACGGGGGAGTCTCCTCTCCGTCTGGAGCCTCTAGACCACACGAACCTGAGGCGGTTGGCTCAACTAGAGGGCGTCTCTTAGACTTGGACCTCGGCTCTAGTTAGCCATTGTCGTGGGGACGAAACAGACAGACACACTTTCGCATTTATAATACTAGCGGCCACCCGCGACTTCGTTCGCGTCAACTTTAGTTTTTTCAGATTCCCACAAGAACCTGAATTTTTTCTCAATTAAAACAACCTATGTCTCAATCCAGGTCAAAAACTTTATGCGCACCGAATTCCATCCAAATCCGGTCAGATGTTTTTGCGTGATTGAGTAACAAACATACAAACTTTCACATTTATAATATTAGTAGGTTATTAATGAGCCCTTTTTTTCTTTCTAGTATCAATCCTTTCGAAATATACGTAAAGGAGTTGACTATCATTGGAGTCAAGATTAACCCTTACAGTTTCCCGAAGGCTATTGGCTGGCTGAAGGCTATGGGGAGCAGGTGAGACAAGAGGATGGAGTATATTTTTATATCTTTTTCTATTATTAAGTGATAGCTTTTTGACGGATATTCAAAAAAACTTTGATCCGGCTTTCTGTAAATTTACTAAAGTGGTGTAAACACCGGCGATTTTTGCTATTCTACTGTCGATAACATAATTATTTATTTATTATTTTATTGTGTGTAAGAATTATATTCACAAAATTGTAATTGAGTGACTAGTAAAAAATGACATTTTAAATATTACTTAACATTGAATGACAACTAACTAAATAAATTGACATATTTTAATATATTTAACATTTAATTGGCTATTATTAATTGAATTGAAATTTATATAACTAACCACAAAAATTTGACGATGGGAAGCCTTAAAACCAGCTGCGCTGTGCCCATTCCTATTTACTATTCATATTTATTAGTTATATATGATGTAATAATACGATATGGAAATAAAGCACTTGTACATGTATTATGTGTTAGCCTCCGAATTTCTTAAACGCGATGTAGGATTCTATACTTTTAAGTGCAGCGCCGGTAGCGCCATCTATTGTGAAAGAGTGTAAAGTCTTGGTTCGTCAATAATATGTGAGGTGTGTAGATGTCGCTGCCACATTATAAATAATCTTCATAAAATTTTATTCCATATTTGCAGGTACGTTGACTACGAGAAGTTAGGTGTGAAGACATACTCCTTATCCGAATATCAGAACGCAATGGACGATTTAAAAGCAGGAAGCGTCTCGAAGGCGCTATTCAAGATCGTTTAAATAAATTTTGTATTATAATTTTTAATAAATAAAGTGTTCTAATAAGTACTTTCTTTTAATTTATTATGTTAAGCCTTGCAGCCTTAATAATGCTACAAGAAATTAGACCTTTTAATCTCTAATATTAAGGCCTTCCAGCCTAAGTAATGCTAGAGGAAATTAGACACGGTCATTAAGATTTCGGTAGAATAATTGGTAAGTGCGTGCGCCCGAAAAGTGGACGATGCGGGTTCGAATCCCGCCTGAAACCTCGACCGAGTGGATGTGTTTCTAGTAAAAAAATCTTTAGATTTAAACATCTAGCAGTTAAATGCTTAAAATAAAAATATGTATAATAATTTTAATATTTAGCTCTCAATGAAAACTACATATTTTGTGCCCATTGCTGTTGAGACTATGGGCCCATGGATTCCAAGCGCTTGTTCCCTTTTTAAGGAACTGTCAAAGAGATTCACTGAGGTGACTGGAGACCAAAAGGCCAAAAATCTTGGTCAACTGGTCAGCCTTGCCATCCAACGTGGCAATGCTGCCAGCCTATTTGGGCATCATTCCCGATGGCGGCGCTGGGGGATATATCTTTTATTTTGTAAATAATATATTATTTACTAGCTGACCCAGCGAACTTCGTACCGCCATAAATAGGGGCAGGTGGTAGAAGAGAAAATTTAGGGTTGTATGTATTTTTAATAGCACATAATAAAAATATAAATATAGTGCAAAAAAAAATTTAGGGGTGTGTAACGTAGTGTTTTATTAATTTCCTGGGATAACATTCCTCCTAACCCATATGAGAACACTACTTTACAATACCCAATAGTTTGAATTTTGGCGCGAAGGCGCATTGTAGGTTTCAGAACACTACGTTACAGGTGGACAACCATTATCACTTAAGGATATGAAAAATAGATAGTAGCCAATTCATAGAAATCGCTCCGGCCGTTTCGGAGGAGCATGGTAACTAACATTGTGACACGAGAATTTTATATATTAGATGTAGTTAAGTAGGCTAAGGTAATTTGGATTCTACATTTAAGACAACAAGTAGTTTTTAAGATTTTGTTATGTGTGAAAAAAACCAAAAATTAACCTTATATCGCGTACGCTGCGGAAGTTATTGACAATGGAGCAAAGTGATCTACAAAAGTTTTTTATAAAAGACGTCAATTACTACAAAAAGTTCCACGATAGTACTATAAGTCTAACTATAACAGTTATAGTTATAATTTTTTTTTTTAAGCATGCAATCCACGCAGACCAGGCAGCAGACAGGACTCGAACCCGCACCCTTCGCTATCCGGGCGAATGCACTGACCATTTATGCTACCGCGGCCATGATGGCCGCGTCGAAATTTTTTTAGCCATTCTTATTACAGTTATGTCACAATTAGAGGACCCCTGCGGTTAATTTTAGAAAAAGTTATAGTGAGTCAAACTTAAAAGATAGACATAGTCTGCCGCGGACTTTATTATAAAACTATTAAAGGGCAAAAATATATTTTTGTTCTATCAAAATGAAAAAATACTTTATTCGCTCTAAATTATGGTGAAAAGCCTGCTCACTCTTCACTTCGGAATCTTCGGTTTAATTATGAACATTAATCACACTAATATTATAAAGGCGAAACTTTGTGAGTGTGTATGTTTGTTACTTCTTCATGTCTAAACGGCTGGAGCGATTTTAATAAAATTCGTTATGGACTTAGCTGACACCCTGGATTAACACATAGGCTACATTTTACTGCGGGAAAACATCCCTAATAAACCGCGGGTAACAACGCGGGGCACAGCTAGTTTCAAATAAATTCCAAAATACACTGTTGAATTCAGCGGTGAAAATTGAGTTACTTATAAATAATAAAAATAATAAATATTACCAACACTTACACCAAGTAGCCTAGCCCCAAAGTAAGCACTTTAAGGCTTGTGTTATGGGATGCTCGGGTAACGGAAAGAATACATATACAGTACATATAAGTATATTTATAAAGAAATACATATGAAACATCCATGACTGGAGTACAAATGCTCGTATTCATCACACAAACATCTGCCCCCACCGGGACTCGAACCCGGGAGTTCTTACTAGAAATAGCATTAATGTACCTTGTTTTTCGAGAAAACTTATTCTATCTCGTCGGCCACGGAGGTCGTCATTCTATGACGACCTCCGTGGCCGAGTGGTTTGTACGCCGGGTTTCATGGCGTCGCCGACTCGAGAGGTCCCGGGTTCGAATCCCGGTGGGGGCAGATGTTTGTGTGATGAACACGAGCATTTGTACTCCAGTCATGGATGTTTAATATGTATTTCTATATAAATATACTTATATATGTAAAGTATATGTATTCTATCCGTTACCCTAGTATCCCATAACACAAGCCTTATAGTGCTTACTTTGGGGCTAGGCTAATTGGTGTGAGTGTTGGAAATATTTATTATTTATTATTTATTTATTATTATCATTTCTTTTTCACTGTAAGTAACAGTCTCCGAGAAGGTAGGTATACCACCAGACTAAGACGAGGTGACTGCGTACACAAAGCACGGGACACTTTCTAAGTATAAACTCTGAGTAACTGTTAAATCAGACCATACCTACACTCCCCTTTTCATGTCCTTACTTTTAGAAGGTTCCGTATAAACAATAATAGTTATTTATTATACAAGAGTGGAAAGTTCCTTTTTAACCGCGTGCTCGATTTGGATGACTTGGATGATGATGACTGATGTGATTCTAAATTAGAATCCTGAGCGTCAGCGAGGGAAACAAACGAGCACAAGGTGAAAAATCTTTCCACTCGAGTGCAATACGTAACTTTTCATCCCACCTCAGCGAGGAAATGACAAAATGAAAAAGAAAACAATTTGCGCATTATTAACTGTTTCAGTTAACTCAGTTGGCGTTAGATAAACTTCATCGTCGCTAATGTCACTCATTTTAGTTGATTTTTTTGTACAGTTTTTAGGTTATGTTAATTATATTAAGCAATAAAACGTGAAAAACTAGAATGGCGCGAAGCACGCAAATAAAACAAAGAAACCAAGAAGGTTCCAAATTTAAATTTTTTCACAATTTAAAAAGTTCTAATCATAAATTTGGCACCATAGAGGTTACATTAAATAGGTTTAATGACGTTTTGAATTTACAATTATATTGAGTACTCATTATATGTGATGTTCTAAATTCAAATCTACTTTGCCGCTCAAGCGAATAAAATAGAATTTTCCAGCCAGATTTCGAAGCGCAAAATTACACTTTCCGAGGTGGTGGGATGAAAAAAAATTAGTATGCGCGTACCAAACATCTGATTTGAAACTTATTTTCTTAAATAACCTAACATTATGCGATGCATAAAGCATATTGGAATGGAGCAGCAGGAATAGGATAGGTATTTTGTCTCGGAAAATTTTTAGATCCCTGTAGGATGCTCAATTAACCAAATTTAACGCGGATAAAGTCGCGGGCTGACAGTTTATAATATCAGTAGAGTGATATATATCGTTGTATTAGTAGGATAGGGGTGATGACGGGGTACAGTAAGCGAAATTCTATTTAGTCTGTCAGTTAGACGACCAAAAAATAATGGACACGTATTTTTTCTTTGGGCAATCAACCAAAAAATGACAAAGTTATAGCGCGTCAAAGTTTGGGAGTGGGGGCACGTGACGTCACTTTTAAGTGAAAATTGTACCAAAACGTGACGTCATGCGACTTTTCAAATCAATATACCTCTGCAATGTTTATATTATGTGAAAAAAGGAAAAATACGTGTCCAATACTTTTTGATAATCTACTTACCTGATAAAAGAAGAAAAAAAAATTAGTCATCATCCCTATTATAACCCTGACCCAATCCCCTACCCCGTGGAGCCCTGGAATCTTACTCACCGACAGAAACACTACACCAACAAAAGGTATTGTTATTTTACTGTGTTCTTCTGTACGGTGGAGATTACTTCCCCAGGCGAGCGCTTCATATCCAGCGAGAAATCCGCTATTACCTACCACTTTTAAAATATCAAATCTTATAGTAATTCATTAAAAGTGTCGCCGCACACGGGCCACACGCCACAGCCACGAACGCCGCCACGAGAAGCTAGAAGCGGCTCCTAAAGTGGCTGAAGCGCGCGACAGCAGCCGACTAAGGTAAGGGAGAGCGAGAGAGAGAAAGAGACGCTACAAATCGTCGTTGCTCGCTTCTTGTGGCCCGCACCGGCCACTTAATGCGCCGATACACTACACCGCCACACGTCACTCGCTCGATTCCCCACCTCTCTCTCCCTTACCTTAGTCGGCCGCTGTCGCGCGCTTCAGCCACTTTAGTAGTAGCTTCTAGCTTCTCGTGGCGGCGTTTGTGGCTGTGGCGTGTGGCCCGTGTGCGGCGACACTTAAAACTGGTTTTATTTAATAAAATAAATGATGTGCGTGAAAACCTAAGAAACAAATAAGTCAATTTGAATAAAGTGATTTCATTTCATTAATAGAATTGCTACTTACTATATGAAAGTTTACGACAATTTCAAATCTCCCGACCAAAATGATAAGGAACCCCAAAAGATGTAACTTTTAGAGCAGGCTACATAATAACGTCGCACGCCCACTGGTGTCGGAGTACTCCATTGTGATCACAGTGACACAGTGACCGATATCACATGACGGATCGGACGGATACTTGTGCGGTACAGGGTACACAAATTCGGATACATCTTTGTTCCAAATAGTCGGAGGGATTGTGGTTTTGTTATCCATCAATAGTCGATGTTTATTGCGCTCGACATCCCTACCACTGGTCAAATTCTTACTATTCACTCGTTCCCTACCGAAAATACTACAGTATCCGATCGCGAAATGACACTTTAGAGATTTTTGGTTTCTGTACTTAACAGGCATAACTGGACACCGTTTTTCAAATAGTTAACTTCGTTAATCGTTAATCCGTTACTAAGAAAACGTTTTGACGTTTAACGAAGTTAAACTTCGTTAAACGTCTAAACCTTATATTTCGGAAGATTTAACGCAAGTTA